CAAAAAAATACTTTTGAAATGCCTTAATATATAATATATTATGTATTAAAAGCAATAGAGTACTCATTTGATTTATCAGAAATATCATAATTATTAAAAAGTCAAATTTATATGAGCCTGTGGCTAAAAATGGAGGTTTTCCAATGAAGGGGGGCCTTACATGAAGATGTAATATTTTCCAGCAATTTTAAATTTGTAAAGCTTTTTGGTTATAAATAATCCTTACATATGTATTTAATGTATTTTAAATGGAAAGAAAACTTACAAATAACATATCACATTAGTTTAAAAGGGTCTTAGGCCAAGTAAGACTGAAAATAATTTAGGGTCAATTTAGGCCGTATCACATATTTACATTTAAAAATGCATATTGAAGCTATATGAAATAAAATTTTGTGTCTTTTCTATCATTTCTATACTCAGGTGACATGATACAATAAATCTGAGCACAAAAAGACTCTTGCATTCAACTTTTTTTGCAAACAGTATGGTCTGATACAAAGATTTTTCACTTTTTAGTGAAAAACATGCATGCAAGTTTAGTCTCAACAGGCTTATATTTGAACCACTTGCTATCCTACAGAAGAAAAGAAAGATATTATGTGACATAAAACAGGTACAAATGACATTGTTAAGTGCTTTTTATACAAATTTAGTGAGGTCTTTATAATGGACTTCAACTTTTATGTTCCAAGCTCCTCACATTTAACTCGATCCAAACAGGGCGTTAGACGAGGACCATATATACAACACATTTTGAACATATTGTCTGAGATAATCTTCTTTTCTGTAGATTCAGAGTTCACAAATGAGTAATACAACTGGATTGAAGCATAGAAACACAAATATTGACACATAAAAACCTGTCAGATAGAAAGTCAGAATGCCACTTATGCATCAAAATTGAAAAAGCTATGAAATGCTTATTTTGACCATAAAATGCCAAAATTGGTCATTTTTGCAGAAATTCTATCAAATAAAAGTTTTAATCCTTTAGTTTTATGCTATTTGATAAATTGACACCATCAAATCATTCAGGGAAGTTGCCAAAGTACAGATTCTATATTTCCTGATTTCACCTCTTAGGTCCGAGTACACAGTTATTTCGTAGTGCATTTCTTTTAGACAATAAATGAAAATTAAAAAAATCCCACCTGCGCTTTCTCAATAATATTTTTACAGTGTGTTGTACTACTTTTGGGACAAATTATATCAAAATTATAGAAAACTTCATCGGCTCTAACTCAAAATATGGACAATTTCATGCTGAGGGGGTCTTCAAATCTTTTGACAGCCTCCGAAGTGCTAATTTTTAACATTTTTCAGCTGGACCAAATCACTACTTTACTTTAAAATTCATGACCCAAATTTTTTTACAGTGTCATTTCACCCCCCTACTTACTATTTGAGTCATAAAACATGGAGAAATAAATTCGGAAGGGGTATAAAAAAAATCGACAAGTAACACACTGTCCACACTAGGGACTATATTCGTGGACAACGAAAATCAAAGGACGATAACTGTGTACCCGGACCATATTATGTACAAACATCTTTATATGATGTGGTTGTGTCATTATATTATGTGCTTGTAACATTATATGATGTGATTAGGATTACTTCATTATATGATGTCAAAACGTTCTTATATGATGTGTTTTTAACGTCGTTGTAGTCAATAAACATGATAACGATTAGAACGATTACTGTCTACGTCATAACTGATTCCGATCTGCTTCTCCGGAATTACTATAAACTTTTTAGCTATCGTATGGAACAAGTTTGAGATTTCAAAAGAGATAAATATTGGCACGTTGGTAACTCGTTTTAACGATGGAAAAATCGCATCTGAAATTGTTGGAAAATTGTCAAAATATGAATTGCAAAGTTTAGGTTTAATCTACAATAATGAACATACAATAAAAGTTATTAAAGTATGGGTCTTCGACTTTTTATTGAGCACCTGGTGTTCAAATATTTGATCAACCAGAAGATATTCTGCATTTGTTTATTTTTTAATGCCAGTTAACTGTTTCTGATCTAGCAGCTCCAGTCTCGTATCAGCTTTAGATAGTGCAATTTATAGAAAAAATGAGACACATCAATTTAACAAAAATCAACGTCTTAAGAATTTCAGTCATTTTCTTTCATTGAGCGGACAACGGAGGAAACATTTGAATTTCTCTTATTATTTCAAGTTCCCACCTTGAAGATGGAAAATAAAAGTTAGACTCCCTTTAAAGATCAATTGTACATCTCTTATAGAAACATAGAAATAATTTATTTTTGTTATTGTGTTGTAGTATTCCATCTAAAGAAAAGGGATGCTTTATTCATTGAAGGTGCTTGTTAATTCAAAATATAAATGAACAAGGAGTTGTTCTTCAAGTCCATAAATGCGACTCCTTCATAACTTTGTGTATCTTCCCCGAGTGTATCACTAGCCGAGTAGCCAGTACTTCAGTACTGGCATGAAAACACGGATTTTGTGTTATTAAAATTTGCTGATACAAAATTTTGAAAATTATTTAAAATTAAGGAATGTATCTCCCTCATGCAAAGCTATGACTCCTTGCCCGGCTTTGGCTTTACTTTTTTGTCCCTTTTGGTTTATAGCTCTTCATCTTTTTAATAAGCTTTGGATTTTCAAATATTTTTGCCTCGAGCATCACTGAAGAGACATTTATTGTCGAATTGTGCATCTGGTGCAGAAAAATTGGTACCGTTTATGTTATTGCTACCACTGGGTCGATGCCTCTGCTGGTGGACTGATAGTCCCCGAGGGTATCACTAGCCCAGTAGCCAGTACTTCGGTACTGGCATGAAAACACGGATTTTGTGTTATAAAAATTTGCTGTTACAAAATTTTGAAAATTATTTAAAATTAAGGAATGTATCTCCCTTATGCAAAGCTCTAATTCCTTGACCGGCTTTGGCTTTACTTTTTTGTCCCTTTTGGTTTATAGCTCTTCATCTTTTTAATAAGCTTTGAATTTTCAAATATTTTGGCCTCGAGCATCACTGAAGAGACATTTATTGTCGAAATGCGCATCTGGTGCAGAAAAATTGGTACCGTTTATGTTATTATTTAAATATTTATGATATTGCGCTTTTAAACTTTATATTCAATTTCCAAAAATTTAGAGAAGTGAAAGTAACTTAGTTGCCTCATTATAATACTCAAATGCCTGTCTTCGCACTATTATAGAATCTCCAGTGAAATCAATTCAACATGTAAAGAGCAGTTTTTGTGCCACATAAATAATCTACAACAGTAAGACAGCCACTAAGAATTCCTTAAATACATAATTCGACAAATAACCCATATTGGACTAAAAGGAAAAGACATTTGCTCAAAGCTTACTTCGGAAAGGAAATGAAAATGAATTTTAGTTTCTGGCCACACAAAAGTTGTTGTTGTTAAACCAGCGATTGAAACGCAAAACGTCATCGCTACTTTCCATTCATGTCTTTATGTCATTGATTTTTATGTCATATTATTAGTTCCTTGCGCGATTACATTTTACATGATTTTTTATTTGTTTATATTTGCAGTGAAAATCTGGACAACATGAATATCATCTTGTTTCTAACAGCTGTTGGTATTGTAATTAGTTGGGTGCATGATATTCAAGCTGCAGTTTGTGATCTGTGTGAATGTTCAATCCCGTTAAAGACTAATTGTGATAAAAAAAAATTAGATGTTATACCAGATGGAATTCCTATAAATACAACTGATTTGCAAGTATTTTACCAGAAATTTGAATTAGCTTTGGTAACAAAATTAGGTGCTGAACACCATTATTTATTTGATTGTACCCTTTTTTATAATAAAAGGATGTTATTCTTAAATAAATTACCACATATAATACTAATCAATTTTATGAGTTGCCTCATTACGACTTCTACAACATTTTATATAAAAATCTACTTTTTTTTATAAAATGCATTAGCAGTTGTTAACTTATATCTCAATTTCGATGTAGCAGGCTTCCTTAGAACATATTGATTCGTGTATATACATAATAATCACTGCAATTATTTGTTCTTATTTTTAAGGAAATTATTTCATTGGCAATTATTTTTATTCCAATACCCGTTCTGGGGTATTGATGATAATATGAAACTTGAGGAAACTTGAAACTGGACACCGACAAAAACCAAAACAATAAATTGATGTTTGAATAGGTATTTACAACATTACTGTGGATTCATTTATTTTCGTGGGTACCAATTTTCGTGGATTAAAGAAAACTTACATGTTCGTGGATATTTAATTTCGTGGTTTTGCCGAAGTCTGCATAGAAGCCTATAGAAAATTTGTTATTCGTTGAATATTTAATTTCGTGGTTCACCTGTAACCACGAAATCCACGAAAATTGGTATCCAACGAATAATAATGAATCCACAGTAATACAAATTCATCCAGTTAGTTTCTGGGTCCATGCTGCACCTTTGGAGACCCTACTACATGAACCCTTCAAGTGATAGTTTCCATATCAAATATACAGTTGTACCGATTTTAATTTACAAATGAAAAACCAGTTCGCAAATTCATTTGTAGATATCAGAAAAGAAACAGAATCATTCTGCAGAAAACGAGTCTCTAGATGGATTATCATCCTTAAGAAATTTGTAAAATTCCAAATGATTATTTTTTTTATATGAGATCATTTCGATCATTTTATTTCTTACAACCTTGATTCAAATCATAATCAAGCATATTATACTTTTCGCTTTTGATTAACAACAAAACCAAAAACATCATATTTAACTCATAATTTGCCTATCTATCTCGTGATTTACTTCTATGTTGTTATATTTGTAATTTAAAAAAATGCCATTGATTTATAAAAGATATAGAACTTTTATAGAATTCAGTATACGTGTATCGCGCATATCCTCAGTTTGAATTTTCATAGGGTGGTTATCAATATATAAAGTTGTACCTGGCTGCAAGTTAATTACTCATCAGTTTGCAAATTCTTTTGTAGAGTTCTGAGTGGAAACAAAATCACTTCTGTAGAAAATGGATCTCTGGATGGTTTATCTTCCATAAAAAAGTTGTGAGTACCTAATATTTATTTTTCATATGAGATCATATGTTTTGATAGGTCAGGTGACCTAACGCTTTGTTTATGACGGGTATTCATAATATGATATTTAACATTTGGAATGTTCCTGGAAGTTAATAGATATTTATTACTATTGTTACCGGAAGTATATTTTTTGGTTCACTAAGTTGCGTGTAAATTACTTAATATAGATACTATTACTGTGTTATATGATGTTTGCATATGTATATGAGATACCTACGACTATATAGTTACGAAACTACGAGGTTACGAAACGGCCTGCACCCTCAATTCGGTCATTTCATTTCTTACAACGTCTGTTTAGATTCTTATAGGTAAAGACTTTTTCTTATCAAGATTATCAATCGTCAGTGGTACAGTTGATGTTATATGTACATGATGTTTGTACAAATGTATTCTGCTTACCTCTGAACATATTTGGATTGTACAACAAACTAAGTTTTTTTTTTGGGGGGGGGAGGGGTGGGGGGGGGGGGGGGTATTACTGATATATTTGCCTAACTACATGTTTCAGTCTTACAAAAAATACTGATATAAAGTGCTTTCATTAAGACACAATATAAGGATATTTTTGTTACTTAAAATCTTATGTCCGCATGTGCAGCTTTATGACTAAGAGGATAGTGCGTGATGTTAGTTTGAAGAATAGGAATTAAACATCAGGCTGGTTATTTATTGACGACACTCTTAAACATTTTCAGCCGGTAAAAGAAGGAAGTCCAGATAATAATTAACAATGAACAAGGATGTACACAAGTGCAGGTCAACGAATAGTTTTCAATAATTAGCAAAATCCAAACCGTTTGGGAAGGTATAACAAACATGACAAATGTGAATACGAAAAATAAAAAAATAAATAAAAAAAGGGGGAAACTAACGATTTGATTTAAGTAAAAATACGTTAAATTAAAAACAATAAAGGCATACGACAACCAAAAACACAAAGTGAACAACAGGCTTGTTAATGGTTCAGCGGAACTCTGTGCCTTGTTTGCAAATTACTTCTGCCAATAAAGTACATAACTCTTTGATGTTGGTTTAGCAGTGTCTTAAAATTATAACAATGTCATTTTACGGCCTCGTTTCAAATCATAATCAAGCATGCCATACATTCCATTTTAAATAAACAACAAAACCAACAAACATCATAATTAACTCCAGATTTGCTTGTGCTATTACCTATCTATCTCGTGATTTACTTCTATGTTGTTATGTTTGTAATTATAAGAATACCATTGATTTATAAGGGATCATAGATTTATTCTTACGAGGAAGCTCCGAGCATGCTTGGAGGATGCTCGGAGCTTTCTAAGTAGGCTCTTCTCTGCAGTTTATGTGGACAATAATGATCATGATCCATTAAGATGTTAATCAAATCTTTATCACTTCTATAAGGAAAGTAAAGCATTTTAGAGTAAGCTCAATTAACACCTGTGTAAACATCTGGTCTATTCAAATACATCTTGCATGTAATTTGACAAACTATAAAATAGATAAGAAATTCTTCAATAGTACTGTGTAATGGTTGGAAAGAAATATCAAGTCTCCACAAAAAGAAAAAGTCAATAAAATATTTTCTTATTATATTTAATAATCATTCTTTTTAAATACAAACCTTATCATTAGATAATATAATTTAATCATAGTTTATACTATACAATATGCTACATAAAAGTCATCAAGACACAAACAACAGTCAGGGCCCTTACTATACAAGTTATTTTTTTCAGTTCTTTATATAGGTATTTTTTGGTTTTCAAAAATTATTTAATAACTCAGTAGTTATTTTAAATGTCAATAGAAACATGGACTAAATGTAGTTTTTATGAATTGTTATATCATTTTATTACTGTAAATTCGGAAATTAATGTGCATTTATTATTGCGATTTTGTCATTTTAGACTAAAATGCGATTTTAATTTTTGAGATATTGAGAAAAATCCTGTTTAATTCATATAAAAAATTTCAAAATGCGAGTTTAAATTATTGCGATTATAACCCTGTCGCATATTTCGCAATAATAAAAACATAGCAATAATTTCTGAATTTACAGTAAATAATATTAAGAATTTATCAAATTTCAGATGAGTATAGAGTATAGATATAAAAGGTTAAGTTAAAAATTATGACAAAAATATAACTTTTATAAGTTATTTTATACATCTTTTAAAAACTTCGTACTTACAATTATTTAAGTAACATATGTAATTGTTTTAGGTTGCAAATTATAAATAACTTCAAGTCTTAGTTAAATCGCAAGGTTCCATCTATTCATATCTGTCTACCTTTAAGATTTTTAAGATAAATGATACTTTAATAATCCCAAGAGACCAATCTTTGACACAGAAGCGTGGTGTCAGAAAGGCAATTAGTGTTTCAGGATGATTAGTTTTATTTTTCATAGGAAAAATAACCAGATGTCTGTGAAAATTTGTTAAAGCTAGTAAAACCTGTATAAATGGACACCTTTAAAAATAATCTTAACAAAAGTTACTTATACATGATATAGAAGTAATTTCTGATATAGCTTAGTTTTCAACATAACTTGTATAGGTAATTTTGAAAATTACTTGTCTACGTAATGCCCCTAACTGAACAATGGTAATATTTTTTATTAAAAAGGCTGGTTTGAGGGGTAATACCATCATTGTTTTTCCCCTATTACGTCTCTATTTAATTGATTTTTAAATAGTGCAGAATTTATCTTTGTTTTAAATGTATAAATTCTTGGCATGAGTAACCTTTTGTCCTGTCCAGTACTACAGTGAAAATACAACATAACTTTTCATTGCATATAAGATAGTAAACATCACCAGAAGTTAACCAATCAAATTCCTCTTCCCCCCTTTTTTTTCCCTGTTGACAAGCTTTAGTAGCCATGTCCACTTAAATTTCCAAATATTTTATAGAAACAAAAAAAACATTATATTGCTTTGAAACATAAAACAGATCCTAAATATATAAATATATATGCTGAATTTTTTTTCTATAAGATTCAAATAAGTTATTTTTTTTTCTTTTTAGATTCATGTGTATAATTATGAAAACCAACCTAAAGCAAAGTTAGTTACAATTTTAGGTATAATTATGTTTATTAGTATAGGACATTGTGGTTGGTTTGGAGTTGAAACAACTATATTTTGCTTGTGTTGTGTTGTTTAACATTCAATTTATACAAGTATTAGAAATATGATCACACAATTTTAAAAGTAAATATTGATAAAAGTCTGTCTGTATCCTGTCCAATATTAAAATCATAAAATCTATGTAGAGGCAAAGCATTATTATAAAAGGTTTATAGCACAGCATGATACATTATATAAACATTATAGTTTGAGGGAATAACCCATTTTACAGTTTCAGTAGGGATATTTATCTAAGAGCATCCTCTTTTATGCTCCATATGAAATATTTTGTTAATATTAAAAATGCTATATGCTGTTAGATTAAACACATCTCAACAATAATAATTGATTCCAATTTTAATAGAGGGAAACAGTTATCAATAAAAAAGATAGAAACTGAAGATATTAGATTATTTGATAGATATATGGTAGATACATTATAATTTAACCCCTTAACTAAAGTGGTATAGTCGTGACTACCTATTGTCATGTTCCTACAGTCATGACAGTAGTATGCTGAATCAAAAACATTTTTAAGCATACCAATTGAATTATTAAAATACATCTTTAAATATATGTAAGTGAGGGTCTAGCATATATAAGTCAAGTCTGCAAATTATTCAAGAAAATTGCCTGTTCTTCTAATTCTTCTCAAACACTAAAACTGCTAAATTGCCTTATTCCTAACTTTAAACAGATTATTACAAGAATCTTTAACTGTAGTTTTAATATATAGTATAAAATAACGGTATGTTTCAAACTGATATTCAGTTGACTTAAAGCATTAGGGTAATAAATCAAAATTCTAAATTTTAAGCAGACAGCAGAATATATCGTACAAATGACTTCTCACTTAGAAGATGATTTGCTCTTCTGTTCACATTTATAAATAGAAAAATGGAGGTTTATATGAAATGGAAATCTTGCAATTATCATTCAGGGTATCAAATGTAATTATGACTTTCTGCATTTTGATTAAGCTTTAAAGCGATAGCTTAAAAAATTAGTTGACATTTTTTATACAAATCAATGTGTATTGAAGAACTAGAATTTAAAATAGAATCAAGAGCTAAGAGCTAAGAGCTTCGAAAAAGATGCTCCAATATTTTGTACATTTATTAGTATGGTATAAATCGTGATAATGGTAATTGGTCTGGCCAGTTGAATTATTTTAATGAACTTTTCTAAGTTATTTTGTAGCTATGAAAAAGAAAAGAAAAAAATGTAATAAGAAATTATATTGGAGCTTAATGAGCTTAATTATGAAGCTCATAATTTCTTATTTATTCCATTTAATCTGTGTATAATTTTTGAAACATAAACAGTATCAATTAAACATTTTCTCAATACTTTCCTGTTGATAACATATATAAAATATTTTGAGAAAAGATGTTGTATTGCATAGACAAAAGGGATTACAGTACAAAGTATAATTTTTTTGGTCCACTGAATCCGTTTAACTATCATAAAAAAAAAAAAAAAAAGGTATTCAAGGAAAAGATATAGAGGGTTGCTCAACAAAATCAATTTATTATAACTACATTTGTATTATATTGTGAAAAGTCTTTCAACCTACCCTTCCAATTACGAATTACAACTTTTCCCAAGTAGCCATCAATTTCTATGAAAGAACTAAGTTTGCTATTGTATATAAAGTTGAACAAATGATTATCAATCAATTACCATAGGTTGTGTCTTTGATGACTTTTATGTATCATTTTATATTGTATAAATTTAAGCTCTAATAATATTATTTAAAGTGAAAGCAGTTATAACATGTACAACAACAACACTTTAGGGATTGGTGCAGTAATTCAATTAGACTAGGCACCGTCATCAGGATTATTTAAATATAAAATTTAGTATTTTGTTTGTATTAAAAAAGAATGATTATTAAATATAATAAGAAAATATTTTATTGACTTTTTCTTTTTGAGGAGACTTGTTATTTCTTTCCAAGCATTACAAAGCACTATTGAAGAATTTCTTATCTATTTTATAGTTTTGTAAAATTTCATGCAAGATGTATTTGAATAGACCAGATGTTTACACAGGTCGTAATTGAGCTACCTCTATAATGCTTTACTTTCCGTTTTATAGAAGTGATACAGATTTGATTGACATCTTAATGGATCATGAAAGTTATTGTCAAATAAACTGCTGAGAAGAGCTTACTCAAAAAGCATGCTCGGATCTTCCTCGTAAGAATAAATCTATGATCCCTAAAAGATATAGAATTTTTATGGAATTCAGTATACGTGTATCGCGCATATCGTCAGTTTGAATTTTCATAGGGTGGTTATCAATATATAAAGTAGTACCTGGCTGCAAGTTAATTACTCAGTTTGCAAATTCTGTTTTAGAGTTCTGAAAGGAAACAAAATCACTTCTGTACAAAATGGATCTCTGGATGGATTATCTTCCTTAGAAACGTTGTGAGTACCTAATATTTATTTTGCATATAGATTCTTATAAAGCATGCGATATTTTCAATTTCATATAAAACAAAAACTTTTTCTTATCAAGATTATCAATCGTTAGTGGTACATTTGATGTTATATGTACATATTGTTTGTACAAATGTATTCTGCTTACCTCTGATCATATTTGGTACGTAACCAACAAACTTTTTTTTCTTTTTTTGGGGGGGGAGGGGGGGGGGGGGGTTATTACTGTTATATTTGCCTAACTACATGTTTCAGTCTTACACAAAATACTGATATAAAGTGCTTTCATTAAGACACAATATAAGGATATTTTTGTTACTTAAAATCTTATGTCCGCATGTGCAGCTTTATGACTAAGAGGATAGTGCGTGATGTTAGTTTGAAGAATAGGAATTAAACATCAGGCTGGTTATTTATTGACGACACTCTTAAGAACTTTCAGCCAGTAAAAGAAGGCAGTCAGATAATAACTAACAATGGACAAGGATGTAAACAATTGCAGGAACAGTTTTTTTTCAATAATTAGTAAAATCCAAACCGTATGGGAAGGTATAACAAATGTGAATACGAAAAATAAAAAATAAATAAAAGGGGGAAACTAACGACTTGATTCAAGTAAACAAACGTTAAATGAAAAACAATAGTGGCATACGACAACCAACAAAATAATGTGAACAACAGGCTCGTGAACGGTTCAACGGAACTCTGTGCCTTGCTTGCGATTACCTTTGGCACTTCAGTGCCATACGTTATGTTGAATATCAAAAACTAAATAAAATTATCTGTAAAATACATAAAAACAAAGCATTTCAAATTTTTTTCAAATGCTTCTTTTTGTTTATAAAATAGCTTATGCCCGGGTTCATGACATTCCATAAGGGTTTGACAAGATTATTGATGTTTTTAACATTTACACTCAATTTTTTTTCTCCACTGTTACAAAGCTCGTTGTCAAACTCAATATTATTTGTCATCAGTAGTTCAAAAGTACATAACTCATCGCTGTTGGTTTAACAGTGTCTTAAAACTATAGCAATGTCATTTTAACGCCTCGTTTCAAATCATAAATAAGCATGCCATACAATCCATTCTTAATTTACAACAAAATTAAAAATAACATCATATTTAACTCCAACTTTACATTAAACAAAAACAATGTTTTTCTTATCAAGATTATCAATCATTAGTGATACCCTTGATTAATGTAATGTGTACATAATTTTTGTACAAGTGTATTCCGCCTACCACTTAAAATATTTGGATATTGCCAACAAACTGACTTTGTCTAGATTATTATTGTGATATTTGCGTACTACATGCAACAGTCTTACACAAAATACTGATATAAAGTGCTTTTATTAAGATACAATACAAGGATATTTTGAGACTTAGAATCTTGTATACGTGATAATATATCTTGTGTCCTCCAGTGGAGCTTAATGCCTAAGAGGATAGTACGTAATGTTAATTTGAAGAATGTGAATTAAACTTTAGACTTGTGATTTATTGACGACACTCTTGTGAATTTTCAGCAGGTAAAAGAAGGCAGTGTGAAATATCTTTAACTTGCATGAAAAGTCTGTTCAAATAGTACACAAACATATACACTTACATGTATTATGATATGTGGTATGATCGCTAATTAAACAAATGATGTGGTCTGTGGTACTGTTTTGTATATTTTGCGATTCCTGTTTTCATTTATTATCCACCTTCTAAACAATGAACAAGGATGTAAAAAAGTACAAGTGACGGGACAATTTTCAATAATTAGCAAAATCCAAACCATATGGGAATGTATAAAAATGTGAATACGTAAAATAAAAATAAATAAAAGTGGGAAACTACAGACTTGATTCAAATGAAAATACGTTAAATGAAAAAAAAAATGCATACGACAACCAACAAAAGAGAGTGGACAACATGCTCCTGAGCAGTTCAACGGAACCATTTGCCTCGCTTGCGATTACTTTTGTCACTGTAAAAGTGAAATGTTGAATGTCAAACTTAATCCAATTAACAGTTAAACACAGAAACACAGAACTATTCAAATTTTCTTCAGATGCTATTTCTTGTTTATAAAATAGCTTATGCCCGGTTTCATAACATTCCATAAAGGTTTGACAAGATTATTGATGTCATTTACATTTAATACTGGTTTGTTATGTTAACTGTCGGTAAATTGTATATGATATATTATTTTTGAACATTTTGATCCAAATGTTATTCCATAATCATGACAAATCGTCTATCTAAGTTTAATAAACAAATTATACGGAGCTTGACAAAGTTATAGACATGTCATAAAGTCTTAAAAACTGTAAAAATGGAGGCAAAAGCGGCGATTTTTCGTTTCCTATAATTAGTTGTCCTATTTTTATCAAACTGAAACAAACTCCATGGCAATAACTGAAAATAATGGAATGTGAAACGAGATGATATACGATTTGTTCTTGTTTTAAACATTTACCCTGAGACTATTTTAACACAATAATCTCACATAAATTCAATGTAACAAAAATAACATTAAAATAAAAAAGCGACTTTGCAGGAGTAGTCTTTCGGGTGGAAATCTAGGACAAAAATTGGAAAATGAGAAACAAAACAACTTAAACATGGTTTTTTTAATGTATTCGATAGTCCTTGTGTGTTTCTTAGAAATGTATAAGAAAACATAATTCTGTTTCATATGAGTACACAATTAGTACCATTTGCTGTTTCAAAACTGTTTCAACGTTTTTTTAGCATAGTAATATAAATTTTAACAGCTTCTTTTTATTTTGACTGTCGTCCGAATTGTGACCTTACTGCTTAAAACAAAATATCTTTTTTTTAAATTAGGGAAAATGCATTTAATATCTACTGTTAGACTGCAGAAACCCTAAAGTAGTCCACATTTGTTGAAAGTTAAAAAAAAAATGATAAATGTATCATATTATGCTATATATTATAGGAATTATGTGGGAATAATTTATACGTAAAACATGGCGGACAAAGTAACTCAAAACCACTAATTTTCCCTGATGGGCATCATGCACCACGTAACCAGTGTAAACTTCTTTTGTCAATATTATTCAATAGTTGTCAAAAGAACTGTTCAAAAATAGTTCATCTAACCGAATATCTTTTTTCATATGATATTAACTCTGTCAATTCATTTCTTACCTCTTTTCATTTTCTTTTCATGCATTTCCCCCAATTATCAACCATAGATCTGATGATTTCGAATTAGTTTTAAATGTGTTCGGGTTTTTTTTTTTTTTTTTTTTCTTTTTTTCTTTTATGGCGGGGTGTATCTAAGAACGCTATTATTTCTGTATTGAATACTAAATATAATTCCATAGGCTGTGTTTAAGTATGCTATGCTCTTTTTTATACAATTTATAAAAACAGCAATTCACACAGTCCATATATTACTTTTGGACGAAAAGTTTAAGGTTCCTTTCTAGTAGAACTGATTCACACCTGCATTATTAAAATGTCATTCTGTAAATCCATTGTGCACTTTTGTAGACATAAAACAGTTGGGACCAGATCTAACATATCTTCAGAATTGTCAGAATGATCCGTCATAGTACTGTAACGGTTTTAGAACAGATTTACCCACGAATGTTCTAGAACAGATCTACTTTTGACGGTTCTATAACAGATCTACCCTAAACACGTCAGAATCAGTTTTAGGCTGAAAATGTCAGAATCAGTTCAAGGCTAGAACTGTCAGAATCAGTTATACAATAGAACTATCAAACACTGTTTTACAGAAGATTTTTAGGATCTGTTCTAGGTTAGAACTGTTAACCAGGGTTATATGTTAGTTCTCTCAAAAAATATTATTGGATATAATATTAGAATCTGTTCCTGGCTAGAACCTTTTTTGTGATAAATTGTTCTAAATGAGTCAAGAGAACTGTTCTATAGACTGTTATAAAATAGTTCCTCTTACAGTCCTATATACAGAATTGATCAGAGGTAAGAACTGATCCTTACTGTACCTTACAAGTCGATCTGTTGTTTTCTGTTCATGTGCTCATCAAACGTGCAGCATGTGCAAATGAACACAAAGCAACCAACAATTATTCATTTTATTTTTAAAAGAAAACCATTCCTCTTGCCTTTACGTCCACAAACTTTTCACTTTATATTTTGCAGTTTATATCAGATGTAAATTTGTTCTTATAGATTAGATACCAATCACTCAGTTTGCTATTCTGTTGTAGAGGTGTCAGTGGTAACATAATCCCTTTTGTAGAAAATGGATCCCTGGATGGATTAATTCCTCTTCACATAACGCATAAACAACAATAAAAACTAATATTTTAATCCAGAGTTTCACTCCTGCCAACTTGTTTTTTCGTGACCTTATCTATTTTGTCATTTAAAAAATATTCAAAGATATTAAATATTTAGAACGTTTGTAGAACTCAGTACGCGTGTCTCGCAAGTAAGATTAATCAGAAATTTAGAAGGTCTGTTATAAGATATAATGTTGTTCGTACATTTGCATTACGTATTACTCTTTGATTGATGTCTCAGTGAAAACAGGATCACTTCTGTAGAAAATTAATTGCTGGATGTATCATCATCCTCGCAAATGTTACATGCATTACTTTCCCTTAATCACTCAAACAAATATTTAAAACAAATCTCTTAGTTTTTTATAAGTTTTTGAAATTAAAAATTTATTGATAGAAATATGAGTGGAAATACAGAATCATTATGTAGAAAACGGATCCCTGGATTGATTATCATCTTCACATAAGTTGTCAGAACCAAATATTTTTCTTTCTATAGGATATCATTTCGGCCATTTCATTTCTTACAACCTCGTTTCAAATCAAAATCAATCATACTATACTTTAAACTTTATACTCTTTTAATTAACAACAAAACCAAAGACCATCATTTTTAAATTCGGACTTAAATGTGCTATTACCTATCTATTTCGTGATTTACTTCTATGTTGTAATGTTTGTAATTATAAGAATACCTTTGATTTATAAAAGATCTAGAATTTTTATGGAATTCATTATACGTGTATCGCGTATATCGTCAGTTTGAATTTTCATAGGGTAGTTATTAAGATATAAAGTACCTGGCCGCAAGTTAAGTACTCATCAGTTTGCAATTTATTTTGTAGAGATCTGAGTGGAAACAAAATCACTTCTGTAGAAAATGGATCTCTGGATAGATTGTCTTCCTTACTAACGTTGTGAGTACCGAATATTTTTTTTTTCATATGAGATCATGAGATTACTTAAAAAGCATGCTCGGAGCTTCCTCGTAAGAATAAATCTATGATCCCTAAAAGATATAGAATTTTTATGGAATTCAGTATACGTGTATCGTGCATATCGTCAGTTTGAATTTTCATAGGGTGGTTATCAATATTTAAAGTTGTACCTGGCTGCAAGTTATCTCAGATGGTGCCATTAAAACAAAATACATATATGGTTTGGCGATATCTGGCCACAGCTTTTATTCATAATATAGATTCATATGATATATATATATATATATAGATAGATAGATGTATATGTATATGTATATGTAGATAGATATATGGTTGGTTACCCGAAGATAATATGGCAACCTTGCAGATAGATAGATAGATAGATAGATATATATGAAAATGTAAAGATACACCGTGGGATACACTGGTGCTTTAAATTTAGAAAACACCGTGGGATACACAAGTGTAGTCTGTATTATCCAAAAACCTAAAATTTCATAGTTAACATTAAGATTCTATGCAGCGAATTCTGCCACATTGACGGAGGAAAACAGAGACTCTGTCAACCGCCATAAAAAGGGCGGTTCGCTGCAAAGCTGTGAACCAGATAACTATAGATAGATAGATATAAATTTTATTTAAAGTACAACTTGGTACATATATATGTTAAATAATCAATATGGTGTTTTGTGAACAACTGTTCAAAAAATATTTACCTACACAGATAAAAATACTAAACAAAACTACACCAAACCATAAGATAGTTGATTGTATTTGTATATCATAAAATATAGTATATTATAGTATATCATCAAATAAATATTCAAGATGTTCAACAATTCATTTCATAAGCATGTTGGTTAAGGGTGACAAGTGAGAACCATCAAGTTGAAAAATTTCTTATCTGATCAAAAATCATGATATTGTAAGTAGCAACCCTGACAGCTAATTATAAAGGCAATAATATAGTTGTATATTCTAGATCTATAGCAACACAAGTCCATCCTTCGCAATAACCTGGTCAAATTTGAGACCATACTACTTAAGAATTGATGAACCGCATAATCCATCTGATCATGTTCTTCATCTCATTGTGCAAAAATCCCACTCTAGAACTACCTGTGTCATTACCTGCTACATGTTTTATTAAGAAATATGGTGGATCCTCATAGTTTCTTTGTTCTGAGTTAACTTTTAACATGCTTGACAATCATGCCATCACAAAGATTCATTTCAATGCCTAGACCTAAGTCAACCCCATCTGGAGGATGTCGGTCTGCTACAAAAACATACTTACTATTGAGGATTCTACTATCCAAACATTATAGCTATATAGGATCTCCTACAATTCTTGCACAGCAATTAGTTACATGGAAGTATATGTACATATGTAATACTAATACAATTTAAAGCATAATTAATCGAGAAAAATAATAATTCTTCTGTAACCCCTGTATTAAGTTGTCAGCATTGGATCTCCGACCCTTTAATAATCCTCAAAAATAATAGAAAAGACAGCTTCAAACAAACTGCATTCATACCAAGATTAACCAACACAAGATAAGAAAATATTTGCTAGACTTCAGCATGACTCTGGTTAAGGTAAATGTAAATCATTGTCCTTAGGCCTGGAGTGTTTAATACCTCCTTAAAAACTGTCAAACCTCAAATTTTATTTTATTTTGACACATCTGTTTAATTTTCCTGAAAAATATCCAAATCTAGTAAATTAGCAATTTTATTGAGAGAGATACAAAATGTACAAGTAAGCAATACCTGAACAATTCATAGAGAGAGAAAGGAAATGTATTCATTAAAACAATTAGAGATCTGAACTCATGAAAAAAAAATCTATATGTACTAGGTGCTATGGAACTTACAATTAAACGGTTACGAAAGGTCTGAAATAACAGTAATAAATTCCCGTGGGGTTATAGCAGGAAAAACATCTGCAGTTGGGACCAAGCATCTGAAGCGATCCACCTAAAAACCAGAAATGGCTTCAGCCATAAGAAAAATTTGTACCAGATCAGTGATAATGAATGTCATACTAAACTCCGAAATATATGAACTAAAATAAAAACTCATACAAGGCTAACAAAGGCCAGAGGCTCCAGACTTGGGACAGGCACTAAATGCAGAGGGGTTAAATTAAACAAGCTTTTTAAAATCTCAACCCAATGAAGAAGAAACAAACACACAGCAATATTAAAACGCACAGTAAAAATCACCACACAGAAGTCCGAGTCCAATAACAGAATAGGTAACAAAACAAACAAAACAAAAATTGAAAATGACATATTACATAAACAACAAAGGACTACAAACAGTTACTGACATGCCAGCTCCAGACCTTATTTTAACTGTTCGAAAGATTATGTCTTCATTATATGAAATATCTAGCACCATCCCTCCATTGGGGGTTTAGTATCATACTATCATAAAATATATTAGAGGAACATAACCCGTATCATACCAGCAACTGGTTTAAGAATAAATGAGTTTATGTCCGATGCAAAGACTGTGCAAGTGAATCAATATTAAAGCCAAAAATGCCAATTTTTTTTTTTTTTTTTTTTTTTTTTTTTTTTTTTTGCAGGCAACAGTTTTCCTTCTTCATAAGTTTGCTTTAATGTTTTGTTAGCTTTTGAGGTAAACCTGACATTTTGTGCTTTGCAAAGAATATTACCATAAAAGATTGGATGGGAAATACCTGAATGTGTAAGATGTCTATGTTGAAGTGAATTTCTTATAATGTAATACACTGCCCATAAAACAAGACAAGAATGACTGGATCAACTCAGGCAAATGCAATTTTTAAAGAATGACTATGAGGACCTGTATACTAGAGTCTAAATCCATGTAAGAAGAAACAAACATTTAGTATAACAGCAGCAACCACTCTCTGTCTTGTCTTGGGTTTGAACTAGGTTGCCCAAATGAAAACTTATTTCCATTTGAGGTCTAGGTGACCTGAAACTTGGATTATCATAAGAAGGCCTAGATTATGCAAAGTAAACATGGTAAATGCTCCTGTTAGGACAACCGACAAGTTATAATAGGATGACCTGCATCACACAAAAAAAAAAAAAAACAACAACAAAAAACAAACAAGCTGCTTAACAACATCTAGGTACCCACGTAATTAAAAGCATAACATTTCAAATTAGTCCCAGTGTTCATGTTAACTGAAGTTCAACCTGTACTAGAATTTTCATTAATACATTTCAACCATAATTTGGAATCAACTGTAGCCTAGGAACCAGTAGGGCCAATGGTTTTATGTAAATGAAATTGCTCGTCATAATGCTTCCAGCCTAAATTAACAAAGCTTGGCACCTAAACGTACAGCGTACGATACTCATATGCTTGAGCAACTCCTAGAATCTTCCAGGATGAAGATTACAATAAATTCTAGTACATATATTAATTAAAGCTGTTGTCGACACCTAAATACTAAACGATTTTTAACTGGTTTGGAGCAGACTGCAAGACAAGCTGTAAATAATTACTTAATTTGTACTAGTTTTGCTAATATTACATGTACATAGATATAGGAAGATGTGGTATGAGTGCCAATGAGACAACTCTCCATCCAAATAACAATTTATAAAAGTAAACCATTATAGGTCAAGGTACGGCCTTCAACGCGGAGCCTTGGCTCACACTGAACAACAAACTATATAGGGCCCCAAAATTAGTAGTGTAAAACCATTCAAACCATACATACATGTATATATTCTCGCTTACTGCGTCTGACACAATTTACACAAAACTCTCTAATAGTCTCATTTTAAAAGTTGTTTACAAGATAAAACCATTTTGGCCCCTATTTTCCCTTAAATATATAAAAAAAATAAAAAATAAAAAATAATAAAAATTTCCCACACAGCTGAGACTGGTTGATAGGGTTTGGGCAAACAGAAATATTTGCAGTCTGTCCTAAAATAGTGATCAATAAGTATTCACTTCTATAAATTTGTCATTTATCTTTGTGGTACTTTATTGCAATATCTGTATTCATGCAGTACATGCATATATGATTGGAATATTCAGATTATTATCAAGATAAATAATATTATATTAGTAAATAGTGTTCTGCATTACAAATCATATGTTACAAATCATATGATAATATACAAAACAATATTTAAAAGTTTCACATGGAATATATTTATATATATATAATTATAATAATAATATATAATTGTAACCTTATAATTAAGAATTGTTTCTTATTTCTAACGAATGATGCGGCATCCCATATAAAAATAACACATTCAGGAATATTTTGTGGATTAAAGTTTAGAAACTGAGAAATAATCATTACACAAATCTACATCTAAACCATAAGATTGGAAAAAAGTTGCCTTATATCTTTATACATATGTTTGTTATTTGTTAGAATCACATGTACACGTAGGGGTTTAACTTAAAAGTAATATACTGTTTTTGTAAATCTGACGATTACCTGGTAAATTATCAAATGGAACATACTGATGCAGAGCTCTGGGGGTTTGCATAAATGACGTCTGATGATGATCCGATGTACAAATGTATGTGACCTAAAGGAGTTGAGTTAGTGGCGTGATGAGTCGTGAATCCCGTCCAGTCTGGTGACCCATCTGTAAAAACTGTGCACGTCATTGTCTGATTGTTGTCTATGTCTCTGGTCCAATTGTTACAACCCTTGTGGTGTTCTGTAGCCAAGCAAGGTCGCACTTTTCGCTTTCTAACTGATCTTCCCAACATGTGCTACAACTCAACAAAAGGTAAATATTAGTTCCACCATGCTACATAGCATTGACATAACAAAATCCAATGACTGTACAAAGAAACAATAACAATAAAAATATTATGTATACTCATAGTTGTGTCTTATGATAGTTACAATAATTTTAAAAAAAATAATTTAAAATTAGTATATATTATTTATTAATTCTTAAATCCACAGTCAGTTGATAGTGACAAAGTGTAATATTTGTATATAATTATATTATTACAATAATTCAAGCTGTGGCCTGTTGATGACATTATGTCTAAATTTGTGATTTATCTGAACTACTCATACCATATCGACCTAGTCTAGGCTAGAGAGTAGTAGCAACTATACATGTCACTGTGATAACTGATGTTGACAGACTCGACACTGACAGTTTTCAGTAACAAGTGTGTAGGTACATGCAAAAATTATTTATAGCAGGATATATACATATAATGATATATGTATGCTAAACTCCACCTCAAGCTAACATTTAGACATGACGATTTTTGGCTACTGCTTGTAACTCCGTGCAGGGTCTCTGTGCAAGATTTCCAAGATTTTTGTTTATTTGTATCGAAAGTTGAACTTCCGGTTACGAACCTGGGTCCTTTCATCCCAAAGGGTACGTCCCTTTGCACCTTTGAACGTCCATATCCTTTCATGGAATATTTGCTGTATATCAATATGTGCTATGAAAGATCTAGGTACACATTCCCGATGTATACCCTTTTAAGGAAAATTTAATGATAATTCGGGAGTTCATCAGATAACGCCTGCCCCATAACACATAAACACTATAGACACGTTACTAACCTGTATGGTCTGTTAGTGTTACAGCGCAAATACAATTTGTTAAGCTAAACCAAAGGCACTAGACGATCTGTCAATACTCAATTTAAATATATATATATGAGTACCTATCGGTATCAGGCAGACTATACATGCATCTAATTTGATGTAGAATACAATGACGAAATCATTATTATAATCTGCAAATCTTAGGACAATATTGCATCTAATTACTCATATTTGTAAAAATTAAATATTTTTTAAAAATGAAAACGAATAATGGGACCAATCTCTTTCAGTCTTTGCATGTGCTCTCCACGTGGCGATGAAATTCCTGATGGAATGGTTAAAAAATGACGATCGATAAAATGAATTCTTTCTAAGATTACTTCTAATAAACATTAGAAGCATGAGGCAGGTTATAACCATACAATACTAACACTACTTTACCATTACAAGATACTACTTTTCAATTTTTTCAATTTTACCGCTAACGAAATTTAAACAGCTTGCTTGCTGCGATGAAATTCTGTAAAGGACTAAATTACGTCACAAAATATAACGTCACTCATGTTAGGTAAATCTAAAACATGAAACACAATCCGTCAGTGGCCCCAGCGATAACTGAATTTTAGTCTATTTACTTAAATTCCATTAATTACTCAGTTTGCAAATTTTTTTGTAGAGTTCTGAGTGGAAACAAAATCACTTCTGTAGAAAATGGATCTCTGGATGGATTATCTTCCTTAAAAACGTTGTGAGTACCTAATATTTATTTTACATATGAGATCATTTTGGTCATTTCATTTCTAACAACCTCTGTTTAGATTCTCATGAAGCATGCGATATTTTTGATTTTACATTAAACAAAAACAATGTTTTTCTTATCTAGACTATCAATCGTTAGTGATACCTTTATTTGATGTAATGTGTACATAATTTTTGTTCAAATCATTCCGCTTTTACCTCTTAACACATTTGGATAGTAATAACAAACTGCCTTGTCTAGCTCATTATTGTTGTATTTCCATAACTACATCCTACAGTCTTACATAAAATACTGATATATAGTGCTTTTATAAAGACACAATATAAGAATATGTTTAGGACTTAGAATCTTGTATACCTGATTATATATCCTGTGTCCTCAAGTGGAGTTTTATGCCTAAAATGATAGTGCGTCATTTTGATTTGAAGAATGTTAATTGAACTTCAAGCTGGTGAATTGACGAAACTCTCGTGAATTTTCAGCTGGTTAAAGAAGGCAGTGCGAAATAACGTTAACTTGTATAAAAAGTCTGTTCAAACTTTAATTTGTATGATATCACAATTTGAACAGAAACATATCCACATATGATTGCCAATTAAACAAATAGTTTGGTCTGTTGTGCTGTGTTGTATATTTGGTGATTCCTGTTTTCTTCTATTGTCCACCTTCAAAACAATAAACAAGGATGTAAAAAAAGTACAGGTCACGGAACTGTTTTCAATAACTAGAAAAATCCAAACCGTATGGGAAGGAATAACAAGTGTGAGTACGAAAAATTAAAAATAGATATAAAAAGGGAAACTAACGGCTTAATTCAAGTAAAAATACATGTAATAACAAATAATAATGGCATACGACAACCAACAAAATAGAGTGAACAACATGCTCATGGACGAATAATTCTGTCACTGTAAAAGTGAAATATTGTATTAAAATTTTAATCCAATTTACATTTGATTACAGAAAAACAGAATTATTCAAATTTTCTTCAGATGCAATTTCTTGTTTATAAAATAGCTTATGCCCGAGTTCATAACATTCCATAAACGTTTGACAAGATACTTGATGTCTTTAGCATTTAATACTGTTTTGTAAATGTTAACTGCAAAAAAGTCAAATCATCAGTAAAATGGTAAAGTGAATAGAATATTTTTTAATGTTTTGCCTGAGCCTAATCTAGAATAGATTTACCCTAGACACTCATCAGGCAAGATGTTATCCCATAATCATAAAAAAAATCGTCTATCCAAGTTTAATAAACAAATTATATCGAGGTTTGACAAAGTTATTGATGTCTACAAATCTTTAGTTTTAGATTTTATCTACGTAAACAGAAAACAATCTGAAAATCTAAAATTTAAGGCAAAAGCGGCGATTTTACGTTTCCTATAATTAGTTGTCCTTTTTTTATCAAACTGAAACCAACTGACAACTCAATGACAAAAAACTGAAAATATTTTGAGTTGATCAATGTAACAATAATAACGTTGAAATAAAAAAGCGACTTTAAAGTAGTAGTCTTTCGAGTGGAAATCTAGGTCAAAAATTCGAAAAGGGAAACAAAACAACTTAAACATGGTGTGTCTGTCCCGTCATATAAATTTGATTTTTTCAATGTATTCGATAGTCATTGTGTGTTTCTAAAAAATGTATAAGAAAACATAGTTCTGCTTCATATGAGTGCATATTTAGTATCATTGGCTGTTTCAAAACTGTTTCAACGTTTTTAACATGATAGTAATATAATTTTTAACAACTTCTTTTTCTTTTGACTGACATCCGAATTGTGACTTTATTGTCAGAAACAAAATATCTTAAAATTAGGAGAAAATGCCTGTAATATCTACATGTGTTGAAAGTTAACGACTTGATAAATGTATCAACGTATATTATTTCTCATAGGAATTATGTTGGAATAATTCAAACGTAAAACAAGAAAGACAAAGTATCACAAAACACAACAAAAACCACTAATTTTCCGTAAAGGGCATCACGAACCACGTAGCCAGTGTAAATTGCTTTTGTCAATTTTATTCTAAAGTTGTCAGGAGAACTGTTCAAGAATAGTTCTTTTAACCGAATATCTTTTTTCATATGATATTATTTCTGTCATTTCATTTCTTACAACCTCTTTTTACTTTCTTATCGTGCATTTTCTCCCGATTATCAACCCTAGATCTCATGATTTTCTTTCGAATTAGTTCATGTAGTTTTAAATATGTTCCGGTTTTTTTTTTTTTTTTTTTTTTATTTTGCAGGGTGTATATAAGAGCGCTATTATTTCTGTATTGAATACAAAATATAATTCCATTGGCTGTGTTTTAGTATGCTATGCTTTTTTTATACAGTTTATAACAAGAGCAATTCACACAGTCCATGTATGACTTTTAGATGAAGAAGTTTAAGGCCTTTTAGATGTCCTTTCTAGTAGAACTGCTTCACACCTGCATTATTAAAAGTTCAGTATCTGGATCCATTGTGCACTTTTGTAGATATAAAACAATTGGGACAATATCTAACATATCTACATAATTGTCAGAATGATCTGTCATAGTACTGTAACGGTTCTAGAACAGATTTACCCTTGAAGGATCTAGAACAGATCTACCTGTGACGATTCTACAACATATCTACCCTAGACACACATCAGAATCGGTTTTAGGCTGGAAATGTCAGAATCATTTTAAGTTTAGAACTGTCAGAATCAGTTATACGATAGAACTGTCAAAAACTGTTTTACAGTAGAATTATTAGAATCCGTTCTTGGTTAGAGCTGTCCAAAAGGGTTCTAGGATTAGTTTTCTCAAAATTATTCTTTGATAGAATGTCAGAAACTGTTCTTGGATAGAATCTTTTTGTAATAAATGGTTCTAAAGAAGTCAAGAAAATTGTTCTATAGACTGTAATAGAATAGTTCCTCTTACCGTCCTTGACAGAATTAAACAGAGGTCAGAACTGATCTTAACTGTACCTTACAAGTCGATCTATTGTTTTCTGTTCATAAGCTCATCAAACGTGCAGCATTTGCAAGTAAACATTAAGCTATCAACAATTAATAATTTCAATTCTTAGGAAAACCATTCCTCTTGCCTTTACTTCAACAAACTTTTCACTTTATATTCATTTTGCAGTTTATATAAGATATATTCGGTTGTAGAGGTGTAAGTAGTAACAGAATTCCTTCTGTAGAAATTGGATACCTGGATGCATTAATTGCACTTACACAACGCATAAACAACAACAAAAACTTATATTTTAATCCAGGTTTTCACTCCTGCCATCTTGTTTCTTTTAATCTCGATTCAAATCACAATGAAGCCTGCTATATTTCCCACTTTTAATTAACAACAAAAACAAAAAACATCATTTTTAAATCCGGACTTGCATGTGCTATTACCTATCTATCTCGTGATTTACTTCTTTGTTTTAATGTTTGCAATTATAAGAATATCGATGTAGAATGTTTCTGAAGTTCAGTATTCTTATAAAGCGTATATCGTCAGTTTGAATTTTCATTGGGTGGTTATCAAGATATTAAGCAGTACCTGGCTGCAAGTTAATTACTCAGTTATCTTGTAGATATCTGGATGGAAACATAATCACTTCTGTAGAACATGGATCTCTGGCTGGATTATTTTCCTTACAAAAGTTGTGAGTACCGAAAATTTATTTTTTATATTATATCATTTCGGTCATTTCATTTCTTACAACCTCTGTTTTGACTCCTAAGAAGCATGCGATTCTTTCAATTTCATATTAAGGATGTTTTTTTTATCAGGTTTAGGAATTTTTGTCAGATGTTCGAACTTGTTTTTTTTTCATACGATACAGGGTTTGCAATGTAAGGACTCAAATCTATGGTGTGTTCCAAATCTATGGCAGATTCCTAATCTATGGTAAATGTGACGTCATGCCATCCCAAATCTATGGCAGATTGTTTTACAATCCTAATCTATGGCAAGTTTTGTAATTTAATACTCTATGGCAGGTTTTTTGTTGTTTTCAAATCTATGGCAAATGGAAAACAATGCAGTACATATACGACCAATGACTTGTCTTAAACAAGTGGACATGTACGACGGGAGCATGTATATAGATATTTGTGAAATAAAAATTTCATAATGGTCAACCAAATCGTGTTGGCAACCAATCAAATTCGTAAATGATGAAATCATATACCTTAATACAGACTTCAAATGATCTGCACCGTAAAAATAAACATTTTTTAATCTGTGCATGTTACCTATTTAACCCATTCATTAAACCAACTAGTAAGTCCCTTATAAACAAAAAAAAAGGGGATACTCTTTTTTATAAAACAAAAATGATAAATGAAAATGAACAGTTTGAATTTTCAAATAATATTTACTTCATCGTTAATATCATTTTTATTTGATGACGATTTAAATTCAATTGGTATCCGGTAATTTTATCTTTCACTTTATAAACTTTGCCATCTGTAGACAGTAAAATATTTACTATAACTCCTTTTCTAAAATATCCGGTACTGAAAAAAGCGGTGTCTTTGTTCATAGCGGGTTTCGGCCGGTACAGCACATTTTGTCCCTCTTTTGGATAATAGGTCATATCTTCCTTTAAACCATCCGCCATTTGTTGTCGAGGGGAATGACTTCATCTGGAATCGTGTTCAAATCTATGAGTTCCGCCAACGTTTGCGGCGGCGACGATGTAATATTGCGTTATTCTATTGTAAAGTAATTTAAAGATCTGCCATAGATTTGGAAAAAACAAAATCTGCCATAGATTTGATTTGTTTGACGTTTGTTACGTCACATTTGCCATAGATTAGGAATCTGCCATAGATTTGGAACCCGCCATAGATTTCAGTCCTACAAATATTTTGCCCCATAACACCCATAAGACTTCAATAGCTCATAAAAGGTCATTTACCAAAATTAAAGCAGATTCATTTCTTTCGGTTTTAGACCCAAATAATACCAATGCAAATATAAGGTTTGAGTCAGCCATTTTTCCCACTATTTTAAAACAACAAATATCTCGAAAAAGAGCTCCATAAACTATCAATATATATATAGCTTATTTTGTTCATTAACTTATGCTCTTCTGACTTATAGTATCAATTTTAAATACTAGATTTCTAAGTTCATCCTTACACAAAATTTTTTCTTATCAAGATTATCAATCGTTAGTTGTACCTTTGATGTAATGTGTACATGATTTTTGTACAAATGTATTCTGCTTACCTCTTAACATATTTGGATAGTACCAACAATCTGGTTTTTTTTCTAGCTTATTACTGTTATATTGCCTAATTACACGCTTCAGTCCTACACAAAATACTGATATAAAGTGTTTTTATCAAGACACAATGTAAGGATATTTTTGGAACATAAAATATTGTGCCTGCAAGTGGAGCTTGATGCCTAAGAGGATAGTGCGTAATGTTTATTTGAAGAATGTGAATTAAACATCAGGATGGTTATTTATTGACGACATTCTTATGAATTTTCAGTCGGTAAAAAAAGGGAGTGTGAAATAACCTTTACAATGAACAAGGATGTAAACAAGTACAGGTCACGGAAAAGTTTTCAATAATTAGCAAAATCCAAACCGTATGGGAAGGAATAACAAATGTGAATACGAAAAATAAAAAATAAATAAAAGGGGGAAACTAACGACTTGATTCAAGTAAAAATACGTTAAATGATGAAAAACAATAATAACATACGACAACCAACCAAATAAAGTGAACAACAGGCTCTTGAACGGTTCAGCGGAACTCTGTGCCTTGCTTGCAATTACATCTGTCAGTGCAAAAGTGTAATTTTGAATGTCAAAACCTAAATCAAATTATTTGTAAAATACATAAAAACAAAACAATTCAAATTTTTTTCAGATGCTATTTTTTGTTTATAAAATAGCTTATGCCCGCGTTTATAACATTCCATAAGGGTTTGACAAGATTATTGATGTCTTTAACATTTACACTCAATTTTTTCTCCACTGTTACAAAGCTCCTTGTCGAAGTCAACATTATTTTAAATCAGTATTCCATATCTTTGACAATTGAGTGCATTACTCTTTGATGTTGATATAACAGTGTCCTAAAACTAAAACAATGGCATTTTACAAATTATATTGTTTCAAGCATCATCGTACGTAAAACTTTGTCCGATAGAACAGTTGTTTGGATGCTCGTGACAGTTTGACACGCCTTCAAAAAATGATGAATGATCATACAGCGGCAAGTCAACGTACTAAACGCCTATTTTGTTGTTCCAAATGATTTCGTAAAGAGTCAGTGCACAGTGGGTGTAAATAAAGCCATGAGATATTGGACAATGTAATTTCACGTCAGACAAAATTTTTAGTGCATATACTTCATATTTGTTTTAGTATTTTCAAAAGGGAGCGGAATCGCCACCAATGAATGAAAGGGGACAGTAAAAATTGATAAAATATTTTCTTACATTATGGGATCTCGGATGCAATTTTCCCTTTCTCTATATATGATAAAGATATTTAAGATATATGTAAATGAAGCAGTAGACCAGCAATACAAATAAACCAGAAAAGACCAGTTAATCAAAGTTTCCGTAAACCATGATAAATGAAAAAACATAATTAATGTTTCAGTCTTAACTTTTCCATTGTTGAACCACGATTAGAAAAATGAACGCATGTTCAAAATATCTTGCGCTTGGGGGTGGGGGGGAGGAGGGGTAGGGTGGAAACACAGTCAAAGTGATTTTTTGTTTCTTCTTAAAAATCTTTTATTTTCCTCCTCTCGACTTGAAAAAAAATATGTTATGCCAAGATTTATGAAATCTTGAAATTTGATTAATTAAAAATCTTAATTTTTTGTTCTATGGACAACAGAACGAAGTGCAAGCAAGCGAACCTTTAGTGTTTTTTTTATGAAGACAATTTTGATTGGAAATGAATATCTATATTTAACAGTAAAACAACCTTATCAAAGTAAGGACCCCGTGTCCATTAATCTTTGAATCGAAAAGAAATATTTGTTTTTAACTGGCTAAATTAATCAACAGTATATAGACCAAACTGCTTCTAAAGTACTATTATTCGATATAAAACCAAGCGAAAAAACTTTCTTTCACATGTATCTTATTCCTCAAATCTGAATAGATATCGACTGGGAAAGAAAGAACATGATGTATTGATCCACGACACAAAATCCCTATAGCAAAAGCAAAGGAACAGTAATTTTATTGTTGTTCTTCATCTGAAAGACATATTGAGGCATGCTAAATTTGTGCTTCCAACTTTTTGAAATTTATTTTCAAAATGATTAACTCTTTTAAAGTCAATATCTTAAATTATGAATGAAGTTTTGATTCTTGAAAACTGTAGTACTTGACACACTGAAATTAGTATTTTACTTCTCTTTTCGAATTATAAGTATTAACTCAATTATATGCTGTATAACATTATTTTCAGTCTTAAGTAAACCACAACTTTTAGATATAAATCCGAATTGGGATAAAATTAAGCCTTATAAAAAACGAAATGTTAGCATTTTGTAATTCATTTTTGTTGTTGTTATTTTCTTCCGTTTTCGATAATTCTAAAGGTCACGTATAAATATATATATTTATTGAATTTTGTGCAGTGTTAAAGTGACCATCAGGGAATGTTACTTATTAAAAGTCACCAATGATGGCCAAAATTTATCATGGAACAACTACCATATTTCATTTTTCTTCTCGGGTTGGTGTACAATGTAATTATGTAATATATACCAAAGAAGTAATTCGGGTAAAGAAATTTCTAAATTGATAAGTTTACATTGCATTTTAAAAGTCCATTAAAAGTGTATTATATGATTAGAAATCATCACTCGTAGTAGGAAGTTTTTGCCACTTTTCGTTTTTGTCACGAGCAGATATTACTGGGTTACTATTGTTTACCTCAGAAAATCAAATAACAGACAACAAAGTAAAATTGAGAATGGAAATGGGGAATATGTCAAACAGACAACAACCCGACCAAAGAGCAGACAACAGCCGAAGGCCTTTGATCTTAACCCGAGAACAAATTGCTCATTTTCTTCTAGCAATCTTTATCTTTTGCAAAATGTTGTTTTTTTAATGGTATTAATAACCGCAGAGTAAACTTTGAAATGTTTGAGATAAATATGTTATATCATTCATCTTCAAAACGAGATTTCAGAAGATAATTTGTAAGTATCAGAGAATAATGATATAAATTTTAATTTTTTTTTAAACCAGCACATCTTTGAGTGAAATTGAACATTCTTTGGATTGACAGTCAAATTGACCTCTAAAATGGAATCTATGATGAGTGTATTCGATACACTCAAAACAAGTAAATCACTGAAACACCTCAAAATGTCCGAATAGAGTCCGCTTTTGAACACGCACTAAGCATAATTTTAATTAACATTTTATCAACAGTTAGTTGACCTTTTTTTAATGTTATAAACCCGTGGCTTCATTACATGTTCAATGCATAAACAGATTGAATTAATATTTAGAACTCATTTCATGTTTGTTTTGTTTTGTTTAGAAAATACAGTTACTTGAGTGTAAAATTATTTTGATGAAAGCTTACTGAATGTCGCTGATAGGACGCCAATGCATGGGTGTGTGACAAATTGTCAGTAATATCCAATCTGCTTTTTCATTTGTACAAAGTTTGACGTGCGGTGATACTTGAACAGTGAAGATAACATTGTCATAGTTTTATGACATTGTTTTAGAGCATCAAAAGGTTATAAACTTTATTATAGTGACTGTGTTACCTGATTCAAAATAACATTGACTTAGAAAAAGTGCTTTGCAACCGTTGAAAGAAAGCTGAGTATAATACTGTTTTGTAATGGGAAAAAAACTGCAAAAAAGTCAATTCATCAGTAAAAACAGTAAAATGAACAGAATATATTTTTAATATTTTGCTTCAAATGATATCCAATAATCATGAAAAATCGTCTATCAAAGTTTAATGAACAAATCATATGGAGGTTTCACAAAGTTATAGAAATGTCTAAAATCTTTTGCATTAGATTTTGTCTACATGGCAAGAGAAAATAAATCTGAAAAAACTAAAATTTAAGGCAAAAGTGGCGATTTTTCAATTCCTATAAATTTCCTTTTTTGATCAAACTGAAATAAACTGACAACTACATGGAAATAACTAAAAATAATGGAATATGAACCAGATAGATATACGATTTGTTCTTGTTTTATACATTTACCCTGAGACTATTTTAACAGAGTAAGCTCACCTGACATCGGACTCGGACTTCTTTTGAACTGAGTTTTACTGTACGTATTGCTATGTGTTTCTTTATTCTACATTGGCTAGAGGTATAGGGGGAGGGTTGAGATCTCACAAAACATGTTTAACCCCGCCGCATGTTTGCGCCTGTCCCAAGTCAGATGCCTCTGGCCTTTGTTAGTCTTGTATGTTTTTTTTTAATTTTAGTTTCTTTTTATGTTTTGGAGTTTAGTGTGACGTCAATTTTTACTGAACCAGTACACAATTTTATTTAGGGGCCAACTGAAGACCACCTCCGGGTGCGGGATTTTCTCGCTGCGTTGAAGACCAATTGGTGGCCTTCGGCTGTTATCTGCTCTTTGGTCGGGTTGTTGTCTCTTCGACATATTCCTCATTCCATTTTCAATTTTATTTGAAGGAGTAGTCTTTCGAGTGGAAATCTAGGAAAATATTCGAAAAGGGGAAACAAACCAACTTAAACATAGTGTTTATGTTCCGTCATATAAATTTGATTTTTTCAATGTATTCGATGGTCCTTGCGTATTCCTGGTATAAGAAAACATAATTATGCTTCATATGAGTGCACATTGAGCAGCATTTGCTGTTTCGGAACGTTTTTTAACATAGTAATATAATTTTTTACAATTTCTTTTTTCTTTTGACTGACGTCCGAATTGTGACCTTATTGCTAGAAACAAAATATCTTCTTTTTTTTTAAATTAGAGAAAATGCATATTATATCTGCTGTTAGACTGCAAAAACCCTAAAGTAGTCACATTTGTTGAAAGTTTTGCCTAATGGGCATCATGCATAACGTAGCCAGTGTAAACTTCTAAGTTTTGAGAATAGTTCTTCTTACCGAATATCTTTTTTCATATGATATTATTTCTGTCATTTCATTTCTTACAACCTCTTTTCTTTTTCTTGTCATGCATTTCCTCCCGATTATCAATCCTAGATCCCATGATTTTCTTTCGAATTAGTTTTAGATGTGTTCGTTGTTTTTTTTTTTAATTATACAGGGTGTATCTAAGAACTCTATTTTTTCTGTATTGAATACAAAATATATTTCCATTGGCTGTGTTTGAGTATGCTATGCCCTTTTTAATACAATTTATAACAAGAGCAATTCACAAAGTACATATATGACTTTTGAATAAAAATAAGTGTAAGGCCTTTAAGATGTCCTTTCTAGTAGAACTGCTTCACACCTGCGTTATTAAAAGGTCAGTCTCTAGATCCATTGTCCACTTCTGTAAACATAAAACAGATGGGATCAGATCTAACGTATCTTTATAATTGTCAGAATGATCTGAAATATTACTGAAATGGTTCTAAAACAGATCCACCCTAGACATGTCAGAATCAATTTTTGGCTAAAAATGTCAGAATCAGTTCAAGGTTAGAACTGTCATTATCAGTTATACGATAGAACTATCAAAAACTGTTTTACAGTAGAATGTTCAGAATCTGTTCTAGGTTTGAACTGACAAAAAGGGTTTCTAGGTTAGTTCTCTCAAAAATATTATTGGATAAAAGGTCAATATCTGTTCATGAGTAGAATCTTTTTTGTGATAAATTGTTCTAAAGAAGTCAAAAGAACTGTTCTATAGACTGTTATTGAATAGTACCTCTTACAGTCCTTGACAGAATTAAGCAGAGGTAAGAACTGATCCTAACTGTACCTTACAAGTCAATCTATTGTTTTCTGTTCATGTGCTCATCTAACGTGCAGCATTTGCATTTAAACAGTGTAAACAGAATCCCATCTATAGAAAAATTGATCCATTGATGGATTATTTCCACTATACATTACGCAAAACAAACAACAAAAACTAATACTTTGATCCAGATTTTCACTCTGCTATCTTTTTTTTTCGCGACCTTTCACTTAAGCAATATTTGAACGATATTAAATATTTAGAATGTTTGTAGAACTCAGTACTCGTGTATCGCGTGTAAGACTAGGTTGAAATTGAGGTCTATTACAAAATAAAATGTTGTTCGTACATGTTTAATACGTATTACTTTTTGGTTGATATCACAATGTGAAACATGGATCGCTGGATTGATTACCATCCTTACAAACGTTGCATGCATTACTTTCCAATTATCAATACAACTAATATATTTGTATAAATTTTCAACATCGTTTTTTTTTTTTATTTTAACAAAATGTAATACCAATATCGAGAATAGGTAATTGTAGCATATGGATGACATTTTATGATTTTATGATGTTGTCAATATTTTTATTCTGATACCTTTTGTCGGGGTTAGATATTTAATCTCACCTGTTCGGTAAAAACAATTCAATGAACTAATGGGCCTATCAATTGCTGTTTAGTTGACAGACAGAAATATGACTTAAAGACAAAAAAGAATACAAGATATGAATGATTCAGCGGAAACCTGCATCTAGCCTGTGATTTATACATTCTTAGTAAAAGTGTTATTTTGAATGTCAAAAAACAAATTCATCAGTAAAATACGAAAACAATTATATGTTGATGATGATTATTTTATTCATTCATATTTCTACAGGAGCTATGGTAGGGGTTCCTGATTCTACTTTTGAAACATCCGCTGCGGGTTTTTTTTTAAGAAAATCCTGTAGTAATCGCATTCGCTCATTCCTCAATGAGAAAAAGCGGACGAAATGTGATTAAGACATATGGACCTATCCGTTGTGATCCACGTAACAGATATCTCAAAAAGTCGACCATATCATACTTACGTCCATATAAGTTTTCAAAAGATAACGTTATCTTACCGTGAATAATTCGTTGAAAGCCATTGTTAGGTAAATTAGTTATTACTCGCAAATTCTTTTGTAGAAATCTCAAAGGAAACAGGATCACTTCTATAGCAAATGTATCTCTGGATGGATTATCATCCCTACGATGGTTGTAAGTACCGACTATCTGTTTTTTTCTACCTGTACAATTTGTCTTTTAATGAAATTCAGGGAAATTGAAAGAATGCATTTGCAAATCATATTTTGCTTGGTATAAATCAGGTCTGTAAAGAATCTTATGTATTTTATACAAATTGTAGTTAAAACCATTCGTTTTCTCTGAACGAACTAATTAAGTTAGAATACAGGGGTGTGGTATTTCAATGTTTTTGTTTATTGCATTTGAATACATTTTCCAAGATTACAAACAAACTGTTGTGCAAGTAAATTTCAAGTTTTTAAAACAATTCATTAGACCTTACCAATTTGATTCCTAGTTTTTTGGATTTTCCCGCTCCTGTTTTGGAGAAATGACTTCTCAATAAAAAAAAAAGAAGAATTACCGCTTCCGCAAATTTCTGGCCTACATGCTGCTCCAAAATTAGATTCTACTTGAAATTTCTTTTTACATGGACGCTTTTCTGTTGCATATTATGTTCCGATTGTTTCAAACGCACGTAAGATAAAACGATTTGTAAATAAAAGGTAAAAAATCTGGATGCCTACATGCAATTGTGTCAGACAAGTGATTATTGAACACACAGTTATCCGAAATGCTTCTCGTTTAACCTTTAGAGACTTGTTCTGGGATGCAAAAATGACAATGCTTTGGTTAGATGACCACAAACACATCAATATTTGTTAGAACCATCGTCAAACCGATCCTTGTTTTAACAGAGATATACCCCTCTATCTTGGATGAAATGAATTGTAATTTCCCATTAACTTTTCAAAAAATCACAGAAGTATTTGGTTTTGATGAAACCCCATATCGCCTTGTTGGTCTTGGCATGCAAGGAGAACTCTTCTTTTGTTAGGGGGATTGAAATAGTTCCAACGAGACCAAGGTGATGGTTTTGTGATTGATATGTTCATAATAATTAGGGGTGTGTAATTGGTTCAACCACTTCTTGTCAAGCTAGAGAGTTTTAAATGCATTTCATCTTTAAGGAGTAAAAGGAAAGAGTATTTTGCTCAGTCAGAATAATGCATGTGATTGGGGTGACAGGTATTTTAAGGGTATATTTTAATACATTGGGATCTACATGTATAGCAATATAACTATCTTACTCAGGATGTTCTTTTAGTACAAAGCAAGAATTATTCACCTCACTCACTATTTTGATCCTAAATATGAATAAATAGTTCCAACTGGATGTCAAGCAGCCAATAAACCATATAATGAAAACAATTTCTATCAAATATCTTTCAGGGGGATTTATTTTGCATTTTGGATACATACACGTATTTTAATTTTATTCAACATGTGTCATTTACCTAGCATAATTACTCTTGTTAAACTGTATCTGCTATGCTTCCTAAATATATATGGATTTAAATGAAAATTCACTGAGACAAAGTTTACTTGAAGAAAATAACCAAAATTATCGTCAGTGAGACGAAAAAGTCTGGTATGGTACAGGCACCAATAAATCAAATTGTATGCATTAGAGCATCTATTGCCCCTTGTTTTATTCTATGAAGTAACCCAGTTATAACATGAACATAAATTGTACAACTTCTAAATTGCACAATTAAAAAAAATATATACCCCTCGCTTCACTTGTAGAACAGTAGAACACACGCCTAAAAAAACTTATTTTCAAGAAAAAAGTAAAAACAAAAAATGCGCTCGCTCTTTCTATATTTTTTGAGCTATTACATCAAATTGGTGTGGCCTTAGAAGGTTATTAACTAACTAACTGGCTTCAATTTATTATTAACATTTCCTGTCAATCGTTTAGTGTCTGGACAGTTATAACACTAAAACACTGTTTTTTAAAATACATTTCAAATTTACGTCATTTATTTAGCAACGAAAATTCCATATAACTTTAAATAAGAGAAAAGGAAGAGAAATACTAATAAACATTTGTAAACATTTAAACATGTTTTCCTATCAGATTTGTGACCTTTTTCCTATATTTATAAATTTTGTGACTTCTCTTCCTTCCAAATTTGTGACTTTTTTTCCTGTGACCCTTTTCCCTGTTACCGACTGATATGGCTGTGTCTGATTGCAAAAGACTATAGGGGACCGCTTAGATGACAGTGTCAGTTCCTGATCTTCCAATGCTATAATATTTGCGTTACAGTTAGGCTGGGCAAGATTTGAGTTACAGATCGGCTAGGCATAAATTCCAATACTATCAAAGGATGTCCTAGAAAATTTTCACTCTTTTTATGTTCGGTGGCCGTAAAGACCTTTACTGTAACAAAAAAAACAAAAATTTTACAACAAGTGAACATGATTATTAGATTGACCTCGTTGATCTTTCAGATGTCATAAAATTCATCTTGATGTCATTCATATCGATATGTTTGTTAACTCTAGGCATAATTTTATGAAGATTGAGAGATCAAAAAGGTCTAAGCAATGCCCCGGGCCCCTTTGTCTGATTTTTATTGAAAAATGACACTTTAAGCCCTCCGTACATACCGAAGATGACATTTTCTGGAAAATCCGTTTGATAGTATTCTTATATATTTATAGTCATAAAGATTATAAAATTTCATAGACATTGAAGGACTGGGGGAGGGAGGTTACTATATATATATTGAATATCAAACATCCACTTTGAGCCTACTGTGATCATATAAGACAAGAAGTGCACCCAAATTCCTCTTGATGTTGTTTGTATCTACATAATAACTATTTATGTGCCTAATATTTTGAAGATTGAAAAATCAAGAAGGTCTAGCCACTGCCCTTGGCCCTTTTACCTGAATTTTGGACGATTTAAAATTGAAAAGTGACACTTTAAGTCGTTCGTACATGTCGGAAGACGACATTTTTCGGGAAAATCCTTTAGATACCATCTGTATATATACAAAGTTTAAAAGATTATTAAATCTTATGGACATTGAAAGACCAGACACTAGTTACTGTTTTCACTAATGAAACGGTCATTTTAAACTGAACAACTCTTAAATGCCTGACTTTACCGCAAGGAAAAATGTCAAGACCTTTTTCAGTTGTCCAGTACATGTTCAGTACACTGGCTACTTCGAGCGATTAAGTATCGATCAGTACTGGTTCAGTTCAGGTAATTAAGAAAAAACGCCTTGCATTTAATTCAGTAGAGTTAACTACGTTTTAGATCATGTCAGTTCATCGATAGAATTGTTGTCTAGTAGTGTTCAGTGTATCAAAATAATATACGGATTGCTTCCCTTTGGTAAGCACAGAGTCAATAAAAGGAAATCGAAATTAAAAAAAATAATTGATGAATAATTAAATAAACCTATAAATATAAAGAGACATATATTATCGGCAACTATATTGGATACATCTTTTTGTAAACATATGTTTCGTTTCTCATAAATTTAAAAATTTAATAACTGTTATAATATTCTTCAATAACCAAATGAAAAATAAAATGTCTTATAATATTGTTACGCAATATATATATTGAAGTCTGTATATCGAATTCGGCAGTAGCTCATTCGTATATATGTTAGAATGGAGTAGAATCCCGATATCTTCCGAAAAAATCCACGCTATGATTTCGCGCCATTTGTCATTTAATAAATATTTGCTGTGTCTGATTCCAGTAACGTAAGTACATTGTTTGAAAACGTTTTGGCAGTTTTGATGTATTTGCATAGATTCCTAGTGTACAATGTGTTTGTTGGGTGAAAAAACTTCTTTAATGATCGTTATACGTTGATACCGATGGCCAGACCAAGCATTTTCATAAACAAAAAGGAGGGGGGGGGGGATATACAGCTCTTCATTGAAATCCCTATTCTTCGACCTTTACATTTAAAACAAAATAATCTAAAATGAACAGGTGATCATTTCAACCAGTAATAGTATGAAATTTAGCCTCAGCATCAAAATAATTGGGGACAGCTCAGCGGGGGTATTTTATCAAAGGGAGTAAACAGGGGGTCCCTGATTCCCACTTCCCTCCCCAAACTGAAACTTCCCTCCCCGTACTCCAAGATGAAAATAAGTCAAAACATTTCCCAGAATTATCCATATTTTACTGCCCCTCTTGCCAGGGTCCCGTCCTTGACTCCCGCTTGCCTGACTCTCACTTCCCGTCCCTCTTTCCAGGCTGAATCTGAATATCATTTTACAATATTTAAAAACTTAACAGGTTCAAATAACACTGTCCCCTTTTGTACTAACATGTATTAACATATATAACCCAGTTAAAAATGTCATAGTGCAGGAGATATTAAACTAAAATCAGAGACATGTGTATTCATGGTATATGTCTCAGCTAAAATGTTGCATATTAAATCTTGAATAATAATAATATGCCAATCAATAATGTTGAAAATTCAAATGTCTAATGATCCAAAACAAACACTTCTGTCTGGAAAATAAAAGTATCCTTCTCCTTCTCATCATGCTCATTTATAAATTAAATATCTACATGTATTATAAATTCCTAATAGTTTGACATATTATTTGAAATGTATACCTGTTGATAGCAAGTTTTCTGATATTATAAAAATATTGTGCCTTTCTCCTTCAGTGTAATTAAAATTATTGATATTGGGCCAAACTTTTAATGAATAAAAGTATATGTAGGGTACATATAAATGAGATATCAACCCAACGAGAAAAATAACCCACACATCTAAATGTTTCAAAAATAGATGGCCCCAAGAGTGCCACCTAAAACATCAACAATTGACGATTCTTTATACAAACAGATCTAAATATACATGTACATGTATGTCGTAAATAAAATTATTGGCATTCATGGCGGTCATACCACATCTTCTCATTGCTGTAAAGGTATGTTTTAAACATGAAAAACTCAAAATAACTAGTAAAAAAAATTAGATATGACATGTGAGGTTCCTACCTTTGGACAGGTATATATAAATGGAAATTTGGTAGCGTTAAAATGGCTTTTTTGTAGATCTAAACTTTTTTTAATCTTAGTAGGTTTATAGAACATGCATAACAGAAAATAACAGAAAATACAATAA